GGCAAACCGAGCTAGTTATTGAGCTTGACCCTGAAGGTCGGCCGGAACTGAGGCTAGAACTGACTGGGCTATGCCTAGCTTGGTGGAAATTGCCAGGTGGTCCAATTGGTGTGTGAGAAGAGAAACCCGCCAATGGTGTGCATCAATACTGTTTGGCAGTTTGACCAATGTTGTTTGGCGGAATTGACAGGTACACGTGTAAAGAATAGAGAGGACAGTACAGCCACGCGTCTAGGAAAGGACGAGCAGAATAGCGCAGAGTCTATATAGATTGAGCGGCACCTCCATACAATAGGTTTGAAGTTTTGGCTACCCAGAGCTCTATCCGTTTTTTGTCTTCTCTCTCTTTCTTTCTCTACAAAGGTGCTAACTTGATTGTCGGAGGAGTTTTCCTGCAACCACTCACTGGGTAGCTCACCGTCGTTGTGTTCTCAAGTTGAATGGCGTCATTCGGAGCAACGAAGAGCTTGGACAATGAGGAGTACAGAAGCAAGAGAACATTTCCTCCCCGTACACATATATAGTATTATCAGTTAGGCAACAAGGGCCTCCAAACCTTGTCATGTTAAAACATGATTTGTTATATTACTATAAATAAATATCAAATACAAACAACTATGTTTGCCATTGTTTAAACAAGGGAGAGACAATCCTCATTTGGATTGGAGAAGCATTATTCGGACCTGTGAGATCCATTACAGATCTTATTTTGATAATTTGAACTTTTTAATTTTTAGGACTCTTCGTGTATATCATTACAAAAACAAATTAACTCGATCCGATAATCATAACATTTTCATTTTATCACATTTTTATTTAAAAAAATGAATGGTCTATTTTTTAAAATACACTTGTTGTTCAGTTTTTAGGACTCTTCGTGTACATCATTTCTACAAAAAAATAAAAAAATAAAAAATCGATTTGATAATCGTAACATTTTTATTTTATTACATTTATCTTAAAAAAATGAATGGTTTATTTTTAAAAACACACTTGCTGTTTGTTTTTTTAAGTGACAAATGCGATAAAATGAAATGTTATAATTATTAGATCAAACTAATATATTTATTTATTTTTTTATTTATTTTTGGTGTGTGGATGACACATACCAAAAGTCCTAAACAATGAATGGTGAAGATAATGGGGCCGTAGTGAGTCTCATGGGCCTGGACATTGCCTTTACAATCCAGATGAGGACTACAGAAAAGCTTCTCCCTTGCCAAAATACGTTGTTTTCTTGGCTATTCATCTTCCTTTTAATTTATTAAAGTTAATCAAAAAAACATTATTTTTATATTATTTCATTTCTGTTGCATAAATACTTTTTGAAAATTTATATATAAAAAAATTTCTGATTAAAAATTTAACACTTTTAAATATGACTGTTGTAAAAAATATATTTCGATAACGATTGTCAAAACATTTTATGAATCAATTTTCACTTTTCAATTTCAAAGGACAAAAAAATTGAAAATAATAATAATATCAAACACATGGATTTGTGAATTTTACTGTTACTAGTAATAAATCTGTGCTATGCACGAAGAGAGTACAAAAATTTATATAAAAAATAAAATAAATTTAATATATTATTTTGAATTGTATCTAGAGTTTTGATTGAACAAAAATAATACATCGATATTAAATCAATTATTAAAAGTTGATATTTCAAATGAAAATATTAAATTTATTATGAACATTCTAAAATTATAATTTTATGATTAGTCATATTAAGATGTTATATTGATTTAAATATTGTTTAATGAATAAGTCCTCATGTTTTAGAATTCTTGAGCTGTATTAGGATTTGGGTTGGGTCGCAAATGGTGCTCAAGCGGGTTTTTTCTTGACAGTCTCGGGTTGGATGGGCCGAAGGCTAAAACCTTATGTCCAAATCTTGTCAAGCAATGATTAAGACCTCCACAAAAACTCTATCCCCACAATCCTCACATCATTCTATGAGAGAGAGAGAGGGAAAAAAAAAACAAAACACACATGGACCAATCATACACATTTGAAGGTCATGGGGTTCCTAAATTGAGAGTCCCAAACTTTTTCCAACCTTGCCCAATGAACTTGAACTAGATGGATTTGCGGGCCAGCTTGAGAGACAGACTTAGCTATGGAGCTAAGATTTAAGGCATATTTTTTTGAATTTTTAAGATTAATTCCATGTTTCCCAAGCAGGTTAGGCTAGATCAAGTTTCAAACCAGAGGCTCAGGCCCAACCAAAACCTCATTCAACTTGGGTGCCAGATGAGGACTACAGAAAAGCTTCTCCCTTGCCAAAATACGTTGTTTTCTTGGCTATTCATCTTCCTTTTAATTTATTAAAGTTAATCAAAAAAACATTATTTTTATATTATTTCGTTTCTGTTGCATAAATACTTTTTGAAAATTTATATATAAAAAAAATTCTTATTAAAAATTTAACACTTTTAAATATGACTGTTGTAAAAAATATATTTGGATAACGATTGTCAAAACATTTTATGAATCAATTTTCACTTTTCAATTTCAAAGGACAAAAAAATTGAAAATAATAATAATATCAAACACATGGATTTGTGAATTTTACTGTTACTAGTAATAAATCTGTGCTATGCACGAAGAGAGTACAAAAATTTATATAAAAAATAAAATAAATTTAATATATTATTTTGAATTGTATCTAGAGTTTTGATTGAACAAAAATAATACATCGATATTAAATCAATTATTAAAAGTTGATATTTCAAATGAAAATATTAAATTTATTATGAACATTCTAAAATTATAATTTTATGATTAGTCATATTAAGATGTTATATTGATTTAAATATTGTTTAATGAATAAGTCCTCATGTTTTAGAATTCTTGAGCTGTATTAGGATTTGGGTTGGGTCGCAAATGGTGCTCAAGCGGGTTTTTTCTTGACAGTCTCGGGTTGGATGGGCCGAAGGCTAAAACCTTATGTCCAAATCTTGTCAAGCAATGATTGAGACCTCCACAAAAACTCTATCCCCACAATCCTCACATCATTCTATGAGAGAGAGAGAGGGGAAAAAAAAACAAAACACACATGGACCAATCATACACATTTGAAGGTCATGGGGTTCCTAAATTGAGAGTCCCAAACTTTTTCCAACCTTGCCCAATGAACTTGAACTAGATGGATTTGCGGGCCAGATTGAGAGACAGACTTAGCTATGGAGCTAAGATTTAAGGCATATTTTTTTGAATTTTTAAGATTAATTTCATGTTTCCCAAGCAGGTTAGGCTAGATCAAGTTTCAAACCAGAGGCTCAGGCCCAACCAAAACCTCATTCAACTTGGGTGCGGACTATGGTTGTTTAGGACAAATGATAACCATCACTTCAATATATAAGATCACATGTTACCAAATTCATTTTTTATTTCATATCATAATGTGCTTAAACAGTTAGATCACAAGTTTTGAAATATCAATTAATCTAGTGGTTAATAATGCAGTGAAAAGACAAAAAAATTGAAGATAGAAGTGCTCAAATCCCTCATTCTTAGACATTCATTTTGGAATTATATAAAATTTTTTCAATGAATTAAATTACATTTGTAATTAGAATGTTCAAATAGTAGTAATAAGTTAAAAAAATGTTAGGGTGAATTATCCATTTAATTTAAGTGAACTTTTACTTTTGTTCTTGTAATTTCAATTTCATTAACATTTTAGACTGTAAAACAAAATATGAGAAATTATATAGATTAATTTTTTTTTTAAAACAAATTATAGAAGTTTCATTTTTGTGTGAGAATTGCTAAATTCTTAGGCTTGCACACGCCGATTTTTCTTTTTCTTTAAGATAACAACAATTGATGAAAGGGTTAGCATAAAAATGCAACTATAAGAGTAAAAATAAAGTTTAATTCAAATTAAGACTTTGTTTGAAGATTTTAGTATTTTACCTAAAAAATCAAGAAGAAATTATAAGTTATGATTAGGGGTGAGCATGGTCCGGATTGGACCGGATTGGGATAAAACCAGGACCAATCCGTTATCTACGGTTCCTAAAAAATCGGAACCAATCCAATCCGTTTAAATCTTGGAACTAATTCGAACCAATCCATTTAAACACGGATTGGATCGGTTTGGGACCACGGATTCACATAATTAAATAACAAAAATATATATATATATATAACACTTTAATTTTATAAAAATATAAACATAGCGCTATATTACTTTTATAATAGCAACAAGTTTTTCTATAATAGCGACATAATATTCTGGAATTTAAACAATCATAAAAAAACTGGTTTCACCATAAGTATTTTGACCATTACAAATTAACACTAAAAACTAACAAACAAAAGTAATAAAAGAAGATATTATACGAGGTTTAAGTTTAAGTTTAGATTTTATATAAAATAAAAGAAGATACTATGAGGGAGGATGCATAATAAAAATATAGATTATTTGTATACGGTTCGGATCGGTTCCAATCCGGAACCGTGGGGTTTAATCCGGAACCAATCCATGGACTACGGATTTTTAATTCTTCAATCCGGAACCGAACCACGGATTCAAACAACCAATCCAAACCTATCGGATTGGACTGGACTGGATCGGATTACGGATTTTACGGATTTCTTGCTCAGCCTTAGTTATGATATCAGTTTTTCTATTTTTCTGTACATATTTTTATAAAAAATAAAAAAATTATTAAAATAACACATTCCTAAACGAGATCTAAAAAACTTGACAACTTGATTTTTTTTAATTAAAATAATTAAAAATAATATTCTTTTTATATATCATAAAAAATTAAAAAATTACTATAAAAAAAAAAAAAACCGAATTCCCAAACTAACCTTAAAAATTGCGCCATGCATATCAATCGAAACAAATTGGAGCCGTGCCACATAGAGAAACAACGTTCACATCCAGCTCCCAAGCTCGACAAAAACGGAGGACAGCAAACGCGTATTTCCGTAGTTTCGCGTAAAATCAAAGGGTACTCTTTAAAACACTCAAATATATTCATTGACAGCGACGCACAGAGAGGAAATACACAACACAACCATCATTAAAAAAAAGAAGAAAAAAAGCCACATCTCTCTCTCTCTCTCTCATCTGCGTCTCTCTCAACCTATCTTCTCCGATTCCTCTTATCGATCCACCACCCACAACCACCACTGTAAGTCTGTCTTCGAGCTCCAATCTCAAACCCTAATTGTCTCTTCCGTCCTTCTTTCTAGATCTTTTTTTTTTTAGATTTAAATCCTAATTTCCTGTCTGTTTGATTCATTATTTCTGGCTTATTTTGTTTAATTGATTTTGATTTCTGATGATTGTTAGTTTATTAGCTGCATGCAAACAATTTAATTTGATTCTTGTCGATTTTTTATTTTGGTTATTCAGCTGAATTATATTTTTTTTATTAAATTTTTTGTCTTGATTGTTTTTATGTGGGCTCGGTGTATGTTATCAATCTGAAAAATTATTCATAATCGTGAATTTCCTGAATTTAATTTGGATTAGGGCTTGATTTGAGATTTCCAGACACTCTGATTTTCAGCTCAAAGTCAATTTATTTATTTTTTAGGGTTTTGTTAGTTAGTAGAGTTCGTTATCAATAGGAAAACCAAAATTATCTTCTAATCTTGTAGATGATTTGTTATTCTTGATAATGTGAATGTGGAACATATCTTCAAACAAATAAGAATGTGAGGGGTTTAACGAATTTGGTTACTAGTTTACCATTGGATGCAACACCTAGAATATTGTTCCTCTTTTGAAGTTATCATCTGTCACCTTGGGTATAAACTTATAGAATAATTATTAGGGTTGGGTTATACAACTGAAAAAAATGGTTATTGGTGTTTTGTGGGCATGTATTCTCTTGTATTTATGTACATTTATTAAATTGATGGTGGGGTTGATTTTTTTATTTTTATATTTTATAGATTCTTATTGTGTGTTAACTGTTTTTATTTTAAAGGCAATCATGAGCGATGAAGGAGAAAGGAATTGTCCTCTCTGCGCGGAAGAGATGGATTTGACAGATCGGCAACTGAAGCCTTGCAAATGTGGTTATGAGGTTTGAGAGCCTTTTCTTTCCCAACTCCTTTGAGTAGGTCTTTAAGTGTTGGAAGTACCAACATATGGAGTATATAGTGGCATTGATTAAATAATATAATGGAGAGCTTTCTTCGGAGGCTTTTTCATGAGCAACTGTCCGGGGATGTAATAAAGGATTTTGTTAATGTGTGTCCTAAGAAGTGTAAAAAGATTGTATATTATACATAAAAGTTCATGCAATATTGAATATACTTTTAAAACCTTTTGACATATGCCTTTAGGGCGCATGTTAACAAGACCCTATAATAAAATCAGCATTATGGTGAATTGTGTAAAACTATATATCTAAACAGCATGAATGCAAACTAAGTTTAGCCTAAATGACTGTGCGTCCTGTGACAAGAATTTGTGGTAGAATAGAAGAATTTCTTTTCTGTGTGTTGGCAAATTCAGTGATCTGTCTGTTAAATGATTGTCTAGTATGATGGTTTTATGAAAAAAATCAACCACTAAAATTAGTTTCTATTATAAGGCTTATAACAGGTCTTGATTTATTCAATTGTTTCAACATGAAAGTTGCATGAAATCAATTGTTGCTGGGGCCAGCAGAAGAAGCACTGACACTCCAAGATGGATATTGTGTCCATGTCCAACATGGCAGGGACATGCTTATTCACTTGTCTGACACGCCATGAAGTGTGTCAATTTTTTTAATTATTATTTTTTGTTGGACACAATAGGGACACTTCATGGACACACATCTTTTGTCCCATGGCTGTGCTTCCTAGCTCGCCAGCTACTGTTTTGCATTTACACAACCTCACAATTATTGGTGATGTCCTTAATGTTTGGTTAATACTGCCGTATTTTATGGATATATTGTTTCATCTGTGTCTGTCTTGATATTTGATTATTGTTGCCATATCTTTGTGGATCATTATTATTTTTTGACAGCGCCATAGTTTGTGTCATTTTCCCTTTTCCTTTTTATTTTTTTTTAAAAAATTAAGGAGTACAAAGATGAAAGAAAATTTCACCTGAAGCAACAGATTAGAGAGATCACTGACGTATACAAACAAACAAATTAGAGAAGGGAACCTAGCAGCCAAAATGCTAAATAGTTGACAAAACTCACATAAGGCTGCTCAAAAGAAAATTTCACGTGAAGCAACAGATTAGAGAGATCACTGGCGTATACAAATAAACAAATTAGAGAAGGGAACCTAGCAGCCAAAATGCTAAATAGCTGACAAAACGCACGTAATGCTGCTCAAAAGCTTACAATGTTTAATGACACAAACTATGGCACTGTCAAAACAACAAATAATCCACAAAGATATGGCAACAATAATCAAATATCAAGATAGATGCATAGATGAAACAATATATCCATAATTTTTAAAAAAATAAAGAGGAAAAGGGAAAATGACAAAAATTTCCTATTTGTATGTTTTGACATTTGCTTGTGTACTTCCAATGCTGGTAATCCTAGTCATCAGATTGATTTTTTATTTTTTTTTCTTTTCATATTCTTCTAGTCTAATTTTTTTTATGCTTTTTGTCCTGGTTGTCAAATCCTTTAACTCATACATGCTTGGTCATTAAATTTGATGATTTTAGTGAACACATTTACTTACCACCTGACAAAGCACCATTGGAAAGGTCACGAAAGGTAGCTATTTTATTTCCAATATTGTTGGGTTTGTGGGAACTAGCTCAAAATTTACACCTAAGGAGCTATTATGTACTTAAAAAGAAGTTATTAGTAAAATGCAATTGTTGCATGCCTTTATGCACGTGTTATATGTTGATTTTTAGAAGACTGGAGCAGAGTGCGTAGAGAGAGAGGTACCTTGGCTGAACGGCCTTCTCTGTAAACTTTGATGAAGGGGGGCTTGACAAACCACTTGTGTTTGAGAATTCGAGTTAAAAGCATTCCTTAACTAGTTTCATTTCCGGAATTCTACCTTCTGTAAACTGTAGAATGTAGTTTTTGGGAGACAGTTGCCAGACTGGTCATGTTTATTGTCCTTGGTATGTTATCACCGCATGTATATATGGTTGTTGAATCGTCAAATAACCTCACCACCACATTTATTGGCATGGGATAGGCATGAAATGAGGAAAGCATCCTCTTTAAACTTTGTTGAATGTTTTAATCTACCAGGTTCAAAACCAAAATGAAAGAAGAAAATTCTTAAAGTTATAAATCTGGTAATGTTTATCTCACTTTCTGCGACAATATATCTTTGTTGGTTCTACTAAATCCAAAGTGAAGTATGAATCTCTAAGTTGTCATTGTACCTAATATGGTAAGTGTTTATAGACAGAAGTTAATGCGGCTTCTCTATAGAAGAAATATATGAAAGGTCCTATAACAAGCATGCTTTTTTTTACCAACCGTTGTGATAGTTGATGGTATCTTGTTCTAATTATTGAAAGTAAACTGTGTAAGCATTTTTGCAGATCTGCATTTGGTGCTGGCATCACATAATGAACATGGCTGAGAAGGATGAGACAGAAGGGCGATGTCCCGCATGCCGTACCCCTTATAACAAGGAAAAGATCGTAGGGATGGCAGCAAACTGTGGAAGGTTAACATCTGGAAAAATATTTTGTCAACAATGAACTCTTCTGTAACATATATCTGACTCATTCGTGAAGTTATTATTATCTTAGTTTTAAGATTTTCATCTGGTCATCATGATCAACCTGGCAGGTTGGTGGCTGAGATGAATATAGAGAGAAAAATGAAGTCACAGAAGGCAAAAAGTAAGACATCTGAAGGAAGAAAGCAACTCAGTAGCGTGCGAGTGATTCAACGGAATCTCGTCTACATTGTGGGGTTACCTCTAAATCTAGCAGATGAAGAGGTGTGTACCTTGTGTGTGTGTGTGTGTGACACACACACATGCATCATTTCTCCTTTCTCACCACCTCATTCTTCATAACTGAGGGGTGCTGATCTGCACATTAATGGCTTTAACATTTTATAAGCAGCTTCTCCAGCACAGAGAGTATTTTGGTCAGTATGGAAAAGTGTTGAAGGTGTCTATATCTCGGACAGCAGCTGGTACTATTCAACATTTTGCAAACAATACTTGTAGTGTGTAAGTATTTAATCCGTAAGGACGTGACATTTGTTTTAAGTTACAAATTACTTCAAAAATGGTTCTTGCAAACATTGGTTGTTCAGTTCAGAATTCTGTTAGTCAATAATATGCACATGGAAAATAGAAAAATTCATGGGTACTTGATAATATGTGCTGTAATCATATTAATAGTATTCTGAAGGTGCAGTTTCTCCATTTGTGTTTTATCTGCAGTAGTCATGGCATCATGTTGTTGGTTCTGTCTTGTTTACATATTTTTGTTTTTATGACTTAATGATCGTTCTGTTCTGCCTTCCATATTTGTCCTAGATATATTACTTACTCAAAGGAGGAGGAAGCAGTTCGATGTATTCAATCGGTACATGGGTTTTTCTTGGATGGTAGATCTTTGAGGTTGGTGCAGCTTACATTCAAGAGTAATGTTTAATTCTGTATTTCTTTTATTTAGGTGTTTGGATTTCATGTTGTAGGGCATGTTTTGGAACCACAAAGTATTGTCATGCATGGCTGAGAAATGTGGTATGTTCTCCTCAGTTATTGATTAGAAATTGGTCTATGGGATATACCATTTGGTAAAATTGATTTTAGGTAATCTGGTTTAATTGAGTATTGAGCTCTTGTTGGTGCAGCCTTGCAGCAATCCTGATTGTCTGTATTTGCATGAGGTTGGTTCACAAGAGGATAGTTTCACTAAAGATGAAATAATATCAGCATACACAAGGTATCTTCATATTGTGATTCGTCCAACTATTTTCTCATTTCCCTTTTCTTTAGTTAAAATGTGGCCCTATGGCTCAATATTGTGAGGTCATGCATGAATGTTTGTGAATTAACACTGGAATTGTAGTGTTGGAACTGTTCGGGAACAATTTTTTGACTAAACATAGAAAATTGTGATTGTTTTTCTTCAGGTTTTTACTTTAAGAACCCGAGTTTTTAATATCATTCTTTCCTGCGATTTTGGGCCATCCAACCGGAAAACTTATGTTGCTGGTGTACTGGGTTTTGGACAATAGTCAGTGATTGAAAAGCCCACATTTACCCTTATTTCTTCTGCCCCTCTGGTTTTAACCCTAGGAAAGTCAGTTGCCCATTTAGTTTGACATTATCTCACTGAATCTAATGCATTTACCAGATATAATGGATGGATACAATATTATTAGTCAAGATATTTTAGGGCAAAATATTAGGATAATGATAACATCCCCTCAGTCCGAAACTTACATCTCATGATATTTTGCAAGATGTTGCCAATATTAAAAGCAAGCTAAGAACATACTGACCAGGGTTTTTATTTGTTTCATCCTTTTTTAAGCACCATATTCAGCTACTGCTATGACTACAATTATAATCATTGTTAGCAGTGGTGAGGCAACTACCAGTCCTTTGAAGTCTTGGGTTAAAACTTAAAATGTAGAGGAATGTGAACCTGAGACCAGGCCTGCCAATTGACTGGATTTTGATCTGAATCTGATTCAATAAGCTGTATTTGTGGTTCAAACTTGATAAACTGATTACAATCGGAATCTTGTAGGTTCAATTCTTGACAGATCAGGTACAGAGTTAGTTGATCTGATCTGTTAATGATTTGATTTGACTAAAAATATCATTGTTGGTGCAAAGATACCAGTCCTTGGAAGTCTTGGATTAAAATGAAGGAATACGAACCTGAAACCAAGCCTGCCAGTGAACCGGATTCTGATCCGAATCTGATCTAATAAGCTGTGGTTTTATTTTGTGGCTTCTTTGTCGATGTAAAATATTTTGGGTTTTTTTCTCTACCATTTCCTATTGAGCTCTGCCTGCCCCTGTTTTATAGGGTTTCCCCTGGTTTTTTAGCTTCTCTCTCTCTCTCTCATGCACGTGGGCATGCATATTTTTGCATTTCTCCCTCTCACCAAACTCATCTCATCTCCTTTCCTAGTCCGGTTCACCCTAAGCATCTGCGCAACCCATTCCCTATTTTCAATTTTGCTTATCTTCTGCTGTCAAGATATGAAAATAATGGTGATGTTAAACATATTTTTTAAAAAAGTTGAAACCATGCTTTTGCTGGCAAAAACCCTAAGGCTTCACTTACTGGGAAAAAGGGTTTTTTGATTGGAATAAGAATCAAAGCTTTGTATGAATTTCAAACAAAAAAAAAAAAAGTTCTATGTGAACTTGTTTTGTTCCACTTAGCCCATCAAGAAGTTGTATAGCAGAAATATTCTATTTCATTTTGAGCCCTTTCCAACAGTTTTAATTGTATTGAGTCAGGTCAGGTCAGGTCAGGTCAGGTCAGATCAGCTTAGTTGTCTGATAACTGACAGTTCTGTGTTCAGATTAAGTATTTTCTGATCTGTTGGATTATTGTGTCGGTGGTTTTACTTTTTGGTTTGGATTGGGATCACCCTTGATCCACTGTTCATTCACAGGCCTAAATGAGACCACAATTTAAAAGTGTAATCATTTTTTTTTTCAAAACTTCATATTCAACTTTTCTTTAGAGGAATGCTTAAAGTTCTATAAATATTGAAAGGCTTGCGTTGGAATGAATAAAATGTCTATTTCTTGTTTTTTGTCTTTGAAGTTGAAACATTGTTCCCTTTTGTCACAGTTTCAGGCCCCCCGTTTGTTTTCTGCACTAGCAGTCCACTCCGGACTGTTAGTGATGACCAGTAAAATTAGCTTATGTTTGTTTTGGTTATTGAACTCCGGATTCGTAGTCCCTTCGGCTTAGGATAGGCCTTGGGCAACGGATTAGGAGTCTGGGCTAGGAAGTGGTATTAGAAATTAGTCCGTTCGGCTTAGGGTGTTATCGGTCGTCCGGCCGGTCAACCGGTCAAGTGATTTTTTTTTTTACTTGTTGGGCATTTTTTTTAACATTAATGTTTAATGTTTTTGTATTTTTTGAACAGTAAAAATCATAATTTTATTTATTTTATTATTGTATATAAAAATAATTCAACAATCCCGACACTAACAACTATCATCACAATAAACACAATTTTACTAATCCCCTCACTATCAATTCTCTCTATTCTATCTCTGGAAACAATCAATCCCCTTCATTCTATCTCTGGAAGCAAACGGGGCCTCGGAATAAGTGGGATTGTGATTGCTGAATTGAGTGTTGAATTTTTTCTAGCTACTTTGAATAGTTGGGATATGCTGTTCAAGATGTTATGAAAGTTGAAAATCTTGATTTTGAAATGGCTTTGAATTGATGTGAAATATCTTTATGCATAGAATTATTGGGCTTTCTTATTTTTCTTCCCTCTGCCAAGGAACAAAATTTTATTTCTTTCCCATTGAATGGTCAAAACATTTCCATTTCCTAGGAGATTGAAACGAAACATCAGTGGAATATTGAAATTCCAATGCTTTTACTGAAACTTTACCAAAACACATTATGAAACATACCTAAACAATGAGTTGTGTCGACACCTATTAAGAATATTTAACCATGCACATATTTCTATTTGCCCCTTTTTGTCAAAAGAAAAAAAAAAATTGAGAATAAAAAAAATATGAAATTTAGTAGAGAATCTGAGAAACTAGAAAGGACGGGAGATAGAGAGAAGATAAATCAGTCATGAGAGAAGAATTTTGCATGTTTTAAAAATATTTTTTTTAAAAGGGAGAAAACCTTTTTCGAACTAAGCCTTTAAACGTTTTGTTTATAAGATTCAAATGACCTGCTCAATTATTTAATTATTGAGAAACTATTGACATTTATATATGTTTCATTTTTTGTTTCCAGACATTTTCAATTTTTTTCCCTCATTTCCCTTGTTTCTCTGAAATATTTCTGTTTCCAAGCTAATCAAAACAACTTCCTTTCCCTCTACCATGGTTTCTGTTTCACTTTTGTCTTTTGGGCTGGATTTAATTCAAATTGCAAAGGGGACTAAACCAACATTTGAAATCCTATAAAATTGTCATTACTTCATTTATTTATTTTTGTAAAATGTTTAGTTTTTATATTTTTTATTTATTTTATTTTTTTATAATTTAATTTAATTTAATTATTATTATTATTATTATTTTTATTTATTTTTATTTTTTTTTTTGTAAATGTAAGGAGTTTTTGAAGTGCACACAAATGTTGAAGTTTGGAAACTTATACCATGTTCGGTACTGCTACTGTTTTAAAGTCCTGATATATTATGAACACTGTCGAAATTGTATGAAGATTTTATTGTTCATAGACCTAGAAATGTTTGATGAGGAGCTATTGAACTTCTTTGTAGATATGAAAATAAAGTCTTGTTATAGAAACTTAAAAGATTTCGTCCTACCTTGTCCTTTTTTAAATTCTGTGTTTTAGTTTATCTTAATTGAAATGGTTAGATGTTTGTGTATACCCAGAAGGAAAGAATGCTTTGCTTTGCTTGTGTCAAATGTTTTATGGCAGTTTCTTGGATAGCTAATTAACTTGCATAGTGATTTTAAAGGAGTAGAGTCCAACAAATTACTGGTGCTACGAATAATATGCAACGGCGTTCAGGGAATGTGTTACCACCAGCAGCAGATGAGTACTACATTAACAGCTCCATTTCCTCTGGAAAACCTATTAGTAAAAGTGCTTCAAATGTAAGATTTTCAGTGTTTACAATTTTTTTTCTTTGGGCTTTTTTTTTTTTTTGAAAGAGAATTAACAATTCACCTGGAATAGTGTTTAAATGATTGCATTTCCCTTTGGCTAGGCCCGTGTTTTATTATGTGAAGCTAGAGGAGTTTTGCTTTTAGGGATTATTAATTTCATTGTGCAAGTTATTGAGAGCATTCTGAATATTCAACTATAAAGTTGAACAATTGTGATGCATTTTGCCACTTACATTTTAGTTGTGGATGTTTTTGCACAAATGTGTTGTTAATGGTGATTGTTACGATGCATTCGCTTTCATTCTGATTTTTCTTGGCTGCATCTGACTGGCAGAATTTGGCAAGCAGTATTAGAGGTTCTCCGCCAAATAGTAGCTCTGGTCAATCTGTTGTTCTTCCAGCAGCAGCCTCATGGTTTGCCAATTACTGACTAGCGCAACTTTTATTAGTTTATGATAAAAGTCCTTAAATTATGTATTTATTTATTTTTATACCAGGGGAACACGCACCTCTAATATCCAGCCGCCATCTGCAAGTTTAGCATGTTCAAATGGACCTTCAAACCAGAAACCTGAAACATGTAGTGGTTCATTGCCATTTTCAACGGCAGTTTCAGGCACAACTCAGGTTTCTTTATTGCATGGTGATATTGGAAAGGAACTTATTTCCAATGAAGAGGGCCAAACAAATATACATAAAGGTAAACAGGAGCCTCTGGAACCTGGTAGACAGTATGAAGGGACAGATCGTCAAACAACTGCTTCTGAGGCTCCTGCCCCTTCAGGACTTCCTGTTACATCAATGAATGGTCAGTTACATTCTCCGCCATTATTGGAGGACAAAGATAGATTCATCAGTGTTGCACCTAATATTACAAGTGCTTTTGACCTTTCTGGGCAGTCTTATGGTTCAGATAAAGACCTGAATGTTACTGCTAATGAAAATTTTCAAAATTTTTGTTCTGATATGGCGTCATTGAACATTGATGGACGTCTTGGGGATGAACATTCTAGGGATGCCAGGCCTAATAGTTCACTTTCTGATAATATCTTGGTTTATTCACCTCGAAATCAGGGGTCACAATTTAGAGAACCTTTGATGTCAATTGCCCTCAGGAAATCTGTGGCATCTACTGATGATAGTTTTATTACAAGAGAACAATCAGATCTGAGATCAGATTTTCTTCCAAGAGAACAGTCTGGTTGGAAATCAGATTCCCAAACTCAAGTAGCAAACAAAGATTCACAAGTTGCAATTTCTGAAGTGGAAGAGGATTTGCGATATTTTGAAGATCAGAGACTCAAGGATCCAGAAATTGTTACTCGCACAAGCTACTGCTCTAATCCATCTAATTCCTTTCATCTTTCTAGCCATTCTAGCGTGTATTCTTCTCAGCAGAATGGGCCCTATGGTTCATCCAATTTCAACCGAAATTCTCAAATTTTAGATAATAAAGTTGACAAAGTCGCGGCACTGCATCAGTTTGGTGTTTCAAGGGTACCTAATAGATACCCTGAGGATAGAATCAGTAGTTCTGTTGATTCAGACAGGACAGGTGAATATTCTTATTTACTTCCAAGTGAAGTGAAAAGAATGCATGTAGGGAGATATGAAGGTGAAGCAATTAATGATGACCAAAATGTTGCTGCAAATGTGGGAGAGAGCAGCATAATATCAAATATGCTGTCAGTGGACTTTGATGCATGGGATGAGTCATTGACTTCACCTCAGAATATGGCTAAGTTGTTGGGTGAAACTGATAGGCGGCAGGGATCTCATAAATCATCAAGTTCCTGGAAAGGACAAAATAGCAGTCAATCCAGGTTCTCTTTTGCAAGACAGGAGTCTACAAATCAATTATCTGGTGTCGAACCATCTTTGAGTAATATAGGGCAAATGCTGAAGGACCGTCCTTCAAGACTTGATTTTGCTGAAAACAGAGATTTTAATTTTGATAGGCTTGGTGATTGTAATGGTTTCTCTACATTTAACATTGAGGAATCTGATAATTTCGCTGGCAGCTATTCTCATTTATCCTCTAATAATCTTTCAGGTGAGTTAATGATTATAATTTTGTGTATTATTTTTTTGGTATGTTACTCTTAGAGCTCGTAAACTTGTGATGGCCACTAAACAACTCATTCTCATACTTCATTTATGCATTCGTATCCATGTTTGTTTTACATCATGTTCATCTGGTTTTTCTTTTTAGGGAGTAATTTGTTATGCAGCATTCATGTGGGCTTTGTCTTGTGTTTAAAGGGCAAGGCCTGGGGATTATTTTCCCTCCCCCCATTTTGTGTATATTGTATGTGCATGTGCACTTCACAGATACTGGTTAAAATAATATATTCTTTGATTGGCATTTTCCAATTTAACTAAGCATATAGCCCATGATTGAGTTCAATGATGAAATTTTTTTTAAGTAGCCGATTCTAGTTGATTGGGAGGCTTAATTGGTTTGGGCATCTTCCAATTTTTGTGTTGTGTTTGTGTGCATTATTCTTATTTTTCCATTTCTGATATTTACACTAAGCAGCCTATATTTGCTACTGATTTTTTCTCTCTCCTGCTGCTGCTTTCTTTTACATTTTTTGTTTATTTGTCTTTTTCGTTTTATTTTTGGATCCTTATGGCACCTTCTGATCGTTGTGTAGTTGGGATGAACATTTGGTCACATTCAGTTGTTTCTTGCAAGCATTGGTTAATCTATGCACATGTGTGATTACAATTAATTTGTCTCTGTCCTTGAAAACCAAAAACCAGCCTCTTTGCTCATATTCTACCAGAGCTCTTCTTAGATGCAAGATTTATGTAGATTATTTTAGTTAGCCTGTCACTTCTCTTTCAGTATCTTTGTTTATTTGATTGTTTTCTGCATGTGCTTCCTTTTCTGCTACTTACCAGGTTTTTGCTCAAACACTAACTGATCTCTGTCCTCTCCAATGTCTTGTTATAGTCGCAAGAGCTCAAGTTCCACCTCCCGGATTTTCAATGCCCAACAGAGCACCACCGCCAGGCTTTGCTTGTCATGAGAGAATGGAACCATCTTTTGATGCCATGTCTTGTTAGTTGTTTACTACCATTACCTTCTTCATTTTCTAACAAGATTTGTGGGTGTAGAGAGATTTTTGAATTTGGATATACTTCTTATTACCCCCATTTTGCAGGGAATCCTTTGCTTGATGCTTCCTCGCATAGAAATCAATATCAGGCACTGCCAGCTGGAAATATTGGTAATCCTGCGGATATTGAGTTCATGGATCCTGCAATTTTGGCAGTTGGCAAGGGTAGACTTCCTGGTGGGCTTAATAATGCTGCGAGCTTAGACATGAGATCAAACTTCTCTTCACAGTTAAGTGCCTTCGAAAATGAGGCTAGACTTCAGTTGTTGATGCAAAGATCTCTTTCTCCTCTACAGAACCAGAGATATGCCGACATGGGGGTTGGTTTTGCTCAGCTTAATGATGCTTATAGAATTTCTTCAAGGATTATGGAGCAATCATTACCCAACAATCTATCCCCTTTTTCACAACTCGCTCTTCAACAGCCTAGAACTGCACTGATGTCAAATGGTCAGTGGGATGCTTGGAATGAAGTTCAGAGCGGAAACGATATGGGTATGGCAGAGCTCTTAAGAAATGAGAGACTCGGATATAACAAAGTCTATAATGGTTATGAGGATTCGAAGTTTCAGATGCCCGGTTCAGGCGATCTATACAACAGGACATATGGGATTTGATGCATCGTTAATTTACTAGTTTGCTTTGGCAATCAGCGGTGTAATCGGAGAAACATAGCGATCAGGTGGAAATCAAAGGCCTTGCATGAGAAAGATGGAACTGACACTTGATTGTTCTGACTCTGCTGTTTGGACATTGGTGAAGGATCAAAACCTCAGAAACAGAGGTTGCCAGAAACCAGCAGGTATGATTTTGTTTATGGTATTTTTTTGGTATTATGATTTTTACATTTTTATGCATCATATGGATGTTTTATATTTTGTTCCTTATTGTTTGTATTGTTTTGCAGAAGGAAGGTGTGATCCAGATTTGCCACAAATGGTTGATTGCAGAGGGCAGAGATTATCATCAAGATGGTGAGCGTTTTGTGATATATATGATTGGACAGGCAGATTATTCTCCTGATGTTGAGCGGTTTGCTCCCAATTAAAGAGAGAGATACTAATCAGGAAGAGGTCAACAATATGAACAGATAAAATTTGAAATAATTTGTCTGTCAATTTGGACAGCTTGAGTGTTCGGAACCATTTAAATTCGTATTTTATAGTGTGATTAAATTGACAAAAAAAAAAAAAAAAAAAAAGGTTTCACTTGGTTGCATTTGGATCATATATTTGTTGAGGAAAAAGATGAAAAATAAGAGAAGAAATTTTTTGACTGGTACTTCAATAATTTTGTCGTCACAAGTTCACAGATTAAATATGTAGTCCATGCACAACCCTATTGTTTTCAAATATTCCCTGGTTAATGATTAAATGATCCAATCCAAAGAAGCATATGATAGTATGTGCCCATTTTGTGTGATTAAATCATGGTATTTAAAGATGATTAATGAGTTAGAAGTATCATGGTAGTTTGTGTTCATATTGTGCATGAAATGAAATGCAAGAAGCAATTGGATATATTGCCATGGCCACAAACTTATCTCCAGCAGTTGGCAAGGGGTAGTTTGATGTGCCACTGGTATCAGAGCTGGGTCCAAGGTAAGTCTATGTCTTGAATATATCTCTCTATCACCTCTACATTTGAATGCCTGTGGGGTTGCATGTGCAGATAAGTGTTAGTAATTTGTCTTGCATCATCACTACGTCACCCAAGCTTGATTTATATTCATATATTCTAGGACTTTGTTTATGTCAATGATATTAGGAGGGATTTGGGGAAGAAACGGAAAAAGGAAAAGAAAAGGTAAATAAAATTTAATTTATGTTTCATTAATTTTTTATTTATTTTTTTTTCATTTACAAATCCTTTTCAAATTTTTAGACCTTGAAATTGGATTACCAAATTCAATTGGTCTCACAAAAACATGTTTGTTTGAAGAAATGACCATGAGTCCCATGAGATTAGGAATACCCTCTCTAACGAGGGGAGGTAGGATATTCGCGGATTGGATTGGATCAAATAGCATTTCATTCGTTATCTATCTGAACGTAAACAGATTAAAAAAATTTCATTCGTTTTCATCTCCTTAGACCATTAAAACCATCTATTTTATAGTGAATCGATTTGAGGCATTCAATTTTGACCTCTAAGAGGAGGTGTGGTACTCAATTTTAATCACATAAGATTAGAAATAAAATGGGTATTTTGTCCTCATTTTATGCGGAATGAAAAATTTTCATATAACAATTATGATTGTTAGTAATCAATAGAAACATGACAAGTGTATTACCACTTTCTCTTTTTTTTTTTTCTTTCTTTTTTTTTATCATAACTTGTCCTGTTAGGGTTATTCTTTTTGGTCTCCTTAAAAGAGATCACTGGCACACTTTTCTCTTTACCTCCCAACAGCTTGCATCATTGGTTGGTTTGGTTTGAGCCTTTAAAAAGTTTTCTCTATCTCTCTCGCCCACATTGCTTGAACACAGACAAAGTCTGCAGAGACAAACATGTGATGTGTGGAACACCAAAAACTTCCCTACCAATTGGGTGTCTGATTCAGTGCCACACATTTAATGTGTTTTTTATTTAAAAGTTTTTGCAACAGAGCAAAACATCTAATCTAAAAATGAGCCCCCACCCACCACCAAGTTGTTCATCTTTGCCAGCACCCAAAACCTAACAAAATGCCAAATCGCAATGAGATTTGTAACAGGTGGTGGGGTCCATTTCCATTATGAATAAATAAAGGAGATTAACATATGGGAAAAATATATTTAAGTGTAGCGAGAAATAAATGGAATTGAGGTGACTGTTGTGCCAAAGGCACACCAGTGACTGTTGTGCCTTATTTTGAAGTGCATTATGTACTTATTTTTATAATCTGAATCGTTTATTTTGTAAAACTTGTTGAGTAATAATTACATTTTGATAGTAGTGCAAGTCTCTAGTGTAAATTTAGCTTTGTGCAAGGTGTAAGTTCTTTCTATGTATTAAAGTTGTATAAAAAAAGTTCTTATTTCTAGTGTAATTAATTTATGATTACCATACCAATTTGCAATTTGCCAATAACATATTAGTGGAAAATGAGACTCAAAATTACAAAAGAAAATTATTATATATCAGCAATTTTCCATTCTTTATATGATAAAATATTATTTATTTTTATTAATTGTTTCCAAACAAGAGAAGTATTCATATAAAAAGTGATATAAAATAATTTTAAAAAATTAATGACATATAATATTTCTCATTATAAAAGGGTGAAATATTTTGTGGGCACAAGTTTTTAATGTCACCTATTTGTAGATAATTTTAGTGCTATTTTTGCAGTAATAAAAAGTTGCTGCTCTATCAATTCAAACCTCAACATTTTTTTTACCACACCTTAGGGTGTGGTTACAAGATCATTAGACCAAATCCAAGATCTAATATCTGGCTTATTTGGCACATTTTATTTTATGTTACAAGTTAGCAACTAGATAGTAGAAGTCAAAAGTATTTCTTTCACAATTTTTAGATAATTAATTTTTTTTTCCAACTTATTTAAGCTATCAAATAGTTTAATACAAACTCCCAAATAAAATTAGCTATAAACAGCTCATATAAATTATAACAAACACCAATATAAGTTTGAATTCTAATACATATTTTACATATTTTTATAAAATTCCATGTATCTTTATTTAATTTATATATATTTTAATATCAATAGTAGCAACCATTGTGATTAGCATTTCCCATGAATAATAATATTAAAAAAAAGTGGGGTAAATTATAAATACGTTACTTGAAATTTATTTAAAATATGAATTATTCCTATAATTTTGAAAATTACATCTCACCAAGGTTATAATTTTCTAATAAATAGTCTCATTTATTAAAAATCAAATTAATTGATAATTTTTAATGATGTCATGAATTTGTTTTAATTATTAATTCAAATAATTTTATTATTGTATAAGAGAGCAGTTAGTAATTTTATTTTTTAATTAATTATGTTAAATGAAAAATTCTAATAAAGAAATATTTAAAAGATTTCAAATAATATGAAATAATTTGTATTTTAAATTAGAATAAAGCTTCGGACTCCCAAGTGGGGGTGCTGGGGGTCCCTTCCTATTGGTCCAAAAAATAATTTTTTTTTTTGTTGATTTTCAGCCAACTCCAGGCCGACACGTGGCACTAAAAGGGTCACTGGGAGTCTGTAACATTACTGTTTAAGTTAATTTTATAAATATATCTATAATTTATTCTTAAAAAAAACATGAAAATGGTCATAAAAATCCAAAAGATCTTGGACCCACCATGTGTTTCAAAACCCTAGTGAGGTCTAATACGTCCTTTGCCTCATCCCATTCAATCATATGAGAGAGAAGAAGAGAGCGGGGAGAGAGAGAATGAGGAGAAAGGAACTAACTAGAAGGGCGAAGTGTGTTAAAAAGAGACCTTGTTTGAGGAGAGATGTATGACAAAGTCACCTTTGAGACATTATTGCAGCAAAGAAAAAGAGCAACCCAAATGTTTAATAGCATCTTAAAAGCTTGGGACCTAATTTGGGGACTTTCATGAGTGATGACTTTTAAATGTCTGTGATTAATTTATGTGTATTTTTATTTATTTATTTTTTTCCTCTCTTTCTCACGTAAGATGATACGGGGTTGTGAGAGTAAAATTTTTCTAGTCTCAATCGTTGCTCTTAGAAGTACTAAAAACATAAAAATATTATATATTTAAATAAGGTAGTATTTATTATGTTAAGCTATGTTATAATTAGGGTTTAATTCGTTAAAACGTATACGTAAAAATTAGTATAAAATAAAGATAAATACTAACTAGTGCTTCTTATGTATTATTTAATATTAGAAATTATATAAAAAATGTCTTGAAAATATAGAAAAATGTTAATAAATTAATTCTACTTCTATGCAAAAACTCGTTTATTTAAGTGCAACAAATGTAAGTATATTCATTGAAATATGAGTTACATTTTACAACATGTTTAGCATTTGCCTAGATACAAACGGGTGTTGCTAATAAACGTCTTAAGAGTTGTCAATAAACATTAAAAAATATTAAAATATTTATTATTTTAATATACTTTTTATATATTTTATAATATTTTTGCAAATTTTAATATATTGTAATATACTTTTTACATGTTTTCTCAACACTAATAACAGCTCTAAAAATTGTTTTTAACATTTTCCTTTATAAAAATAAATTAATGCCTAAAAATTGATTAGTTACATAAAACCAACTCCTATATATATATACACGTTAGATTATTAAATTTTTTACACCCAATCACCTTGTTTGGTTTTGATTAATTTTTTAAAAATTGAGTTTTTTATTTTTCATATATATATATATATATATATTTTATTTTTAGTGAATTTTAAAAAAATATTTGAAGTAAAATTTTTACTTTCTAGATGCACCTAAAAATTAAAATATTTGTAAAACATATTTTTAAAATTTAATAAATACACAGGAATATGAAAATGTACTAAATTTTTATATATTTTTGTATTTTAATATTTGATGAATTTTTAATTTTTTTATAAATATTATACATTTTAAGTAAATTTAGGTTAGGTACATTTAAAAATTATTATTTTTTAAATATTAAAATTTTTGAATAAAAAAAAAATAACACGAAAAATAAAAAAAAAAAGTAAAATTTTTAAAAAGTGTTCTCACTTTTTTGAAACTAAACAAAGTGTTATCAAGAACTTTCTTTCAATACAAAGAAAAAATGTCATTTTTTACAGTCCTATGTTGGACTGTGTAGTGTGTAGCTAGTTGAAGAAAAGAAAGGAAATTCTATTATATACATCTTTTCAAAGTGTGTATAATGTTCATTTTTAATTATTATTATTTTTTAAAATTATGATGAATTTTCTTCTTTAGTTATGATTTATGAGATTTTTGTATACACCTCATGTGATGTTGGTTATGACTTTTTATATATATATATAACTTAGAAAGTATAAAGTTATGCAATTTTTTTTTTTAGTTATAGTTACATATATGAGTAAGGGTCATCAATAGAATTGGCTGGGCTTCCCCAACCCACAGCTACTGTGTCCACGTTCCATATATTAATGGGGTTTTCGGATTTTAACCAGTCATCAGGTTAGGATGAGCCGGGCTTATTTAAAAAAATTAAAACCATGTTCCACCCGTAAGCCCAAATTTACGGGTCAAAATCAAACTGAACCGGACTATATATTTTTTTATTTTTTCTTTTCTAATAATTCATATGATCAAATTAATTA